ACTGACCACCCCCTCTCCGTCCACCTCAATGAACTCTTCCTCACACATGGTCTCCATGGTGATTCCCGCCTTCTGCACGTCTGCAGCCTGTGTCGTCTCCAACCCTGCAGTCATGTCGTCTGTAGTAGCTGTAAGTGTCGTCTGTATCATCTGCCAATCAAAGAAAAGCAGGGGTAAGTATCTTTCTTCCACAAGATACTAGGATACTAGCCTGACTAAATCTGCGCTCCTAGCGGCCGGCCCGGTAATCTAGGAGCGCAGATTTAGTCAGGCTACTAGGATACATGATTCGCCCTACGGCCCAGTAGCCTACTACTAGGCCTAGACATACAATCCATACAGGATTGTATGCGGACATAATCAATCATAAACAGACTCCTAAAAGGATGAATATGGGCCAATCTTCAAGCACGCGCATCAGATGCAGATAAAAATGATGATGTCGCAATAACCACTTATGCTTGCGTCAGCAAAGGTCATCAGCTGACAGAGGCCTTATTATCCGTAAGGGCTAAAGTAGCACCAAGATCAAATCCACCATTGAAAACAAAGAAAAGGCACAATCAATGAGAAAATTTACAACTCACTGCTACCGAGCGGCCCTGTCTTTATGCTATTACCTTGAGACGCTAATCAAAGAAGTCTGGTAACGAGATCCGAGAACATTGTTACCCAAACCTGACACGAGAGGACACGAGAGAATGTGTATCGCGACTTCCGATTAACATTAATCAAAACCACTGTGAATGGAAACAGCAATGGAAGAATCAAGGGGACCTCAAACACACAATCAATGCATATCAAGACCAAGAACAAGGTAGTAATTCATCATACATGTTTCTGACTGTCAAGGCTCCCAATAGTCCCACATGTTCTGCTGATGGCTGAATGTGTTGTCTGTGCCTGCTTGCCAAGGACCCTCATGACAGAAGTTAAGAGCGGAGATAGATGGTATCTTCATCAAAGTGGTCTCGTACTCGGTTGTGGAAAGAACCCCGGCGCTGCGAGTTTCTCACACGTGCGGTGCGGGCAGAAGAAATGCTGGTTGCATCAGATGCCCACCTTTTATAAGATGTCTGTAAATCTGTATGCCTTACACGGCCGACCTGTCCAAATGACACTCGTGCAATCGAGACACCGGTTTGCATCAGAAAATGACCACCAAAAACGATGGAAGCCACATTGACCAACATTCCCCTGGGGGCTTTGTCTCGCCGTGATTGGCCGAGGCACAGGTGTGCGAGGGGCGTGACGCGGGATTGTGAAAGGTCGGCTTGAGGTTGCGCAGTATTGCATCAGACGGTACAGTCGGCGTGGGGAATCCCGGCATGACAGCCAGTACTACGGGACACGCCAAAATCTGCATAAGAATTACCACGGTCACTGGGTTTGCCCAGATTGGTGGGTCATATGTTAACCTCCAACACGTCAGGTTAGCCTTTAGAGATCCAAACGCCGATAAGATTAAGATTGAATGAGTTGTGTTTAGTTTAAGGACTCAACTGTTGCGAAAATGCATCGACAATAGAAGCCATGAGCCATACACGGCATGCATGGCGAAGCAACCTGTGTTTGTTTTGACGCCGGTAGGTTGAGTCTGTTCTTCCCCTGACTCACAAATATATCCTTTTTCTATTCCCCTTCCTTTGTCTATGTCTCTGTCACGTCGAAAAGTTGAAAAAAAAAAAGAAAATAGTTAAAAAACCTCCTGTCTCTCTTGTCTAGTTTTCACTCTTTTTTTGATTTTGTTATACCCCAATTAAAAACGGGTACTCCGGTATGAAATGTCTGTCTTTTATGTCATTATTTTATTTTGATGTGTCAAGTTGGCAGGAGTGGGTTGGTGGGAGCACTTGGACAGTAACCTGTCGTGGGTAGCTTGGCACATCCTTTTTCTATTCCCCTTCCTTTGTCTATGTCTCTGTCACGTCGAAAAGTTGAAAAAAAAAGAAAATAGTTAAAAAACCTCCTGTCTCTCTTGTCTAGTTTTCACTCTTTTTTTGATTTTGTTATACCCCAATTAAAAACGGGTCTGCATGCGACTGGTAACCGTCCTTGTATTCCCCGGTTGTCACTGACACATATCACACAGTAAAGTGCTAAGCAAATAGTGCGTGGATCGATCAACTTTATGGATTTATGATGAATTGACTGATCAACCAGCCTTCTGAGTCGCTGTTTTTAGTTGTTGCCAAGTTCAGGAGAAGCCTACATCAGAATGTGCATCGTAGGGGCGTGCGTGAATTGTCTAAAAACATCTGATACCCAATTTTGCTCTTTATATATTTACTCCAGAAAGGGGCACCCCAAAAGTACCACATTTTTCAGTCTTGATATTCATGATAAAAAGGCTACTTATCACATGGTTTA